ACACACACACACACACACACACACACACACACACACACACACACACAATCCCCGGAAGACGTCTACTTAGTCGGCCCCCTGCTGTCACTGTCCTCATTGCTGTGGGAGCCTCTGTAACCCCGGAGTTCCCGTCTCTCACGACACTCACGGCACTCGTCCTCCTCCTCTACCTCCCCCTCGTCGTCGTGGATGATCTCCACCTCCAGGCGGCCGATATAGAGAGATACCGCACAGAGCCAAAAGAGGGCGACGCTTCCCACCGCAGCCCCCTGGAGCAGCAGCGCTGGCACAGACAGCAGCATCATCCTCCGCAGGGCAAAGAGGCTGCCGAGGTAAGAGGTGCCGCCAAACGACACGCACACCCCTCCCAGGATGAAGAAGGCTGTGGAGAGGCAGACTGATGTGATCTGATTGTAGAGATACAATACGTTTTCTCCCTGCACTGAAATCTGAGATAGAGGCAGGTTGGTTTTACTCAAATAAACAAATATGTGGAATATTTTCTGTAATTAGTAAGTTATTTAAAAAACCTAAACATCACTGGGAATAAATGTTAGTTAAAGAGGTCAGTTTGACTTTATTCTGATATAAATTATACTGACATCATGACTAAATTTAATACCATGGCTGGAAATTATTTTTTCGGCTTTGTTTTTAAACCTGCTGGTGAATCAGCAAATAAAATGTTTTGCAGATATTTTCAGAGCAACAGAAATAAGGTATTGACCAATTAGATTCTACTTATTGCATTCTTATCCATTGACTTTTATTTTCTTTTTCTATAATCCACTAACCTTTAGGAATGTACCATCCCCTTCGTTACTAAACTTGCATCATTAACTACTGTTTGTTGTTGCACCACCACAAAGCTTGTACTGATCGTGTTGCAGCTCTACTGGACTTGTACATGAAACTGTGTGTGTTGAGGCCTGTACCGTATCCGGCTTCTCGCCCCACTTCACTCTGGACGAATGCGATGACTCCGATCCCAGTGGCCAGCAGACCATTCCTGAACCACGACAGGAATCCTGCAAAACATTCAAAGCCAGAATAAACAGCAACTCAGAGTTACAGCCTGAAAGGCAGCATGTACATAAAACAAGAAGTTACCGAACTGTTTACGTGACTGATTTGAAATTTTTCAGAGATCACTGCTTTCGGACCAGTCCCCAATCCTCGGACTCTGCAGTCCACATACTGAGGTGTCATGAAACTGCAAATTGTGCATGTATAAAAGCAGTGCATGTATTTATGAATGAATGTGGTTTAGGGTGTAAAGCCCCTTTAATGGTTGATAAGATTAGATAAGCTCTTTGAAAATATTGTCCATTTGCCATGTAATCAAAGATGTCTGTTGCAGGATCCAGGCTCACTCTGTGAGGTCGGGGTGGAGGAGGGATCTACCTGTCTGTGCAAATGGGAGGAGTTCTGAAGGGGGAGGTTATATATATATG